AAATTATTTCGCAACAACAGCAATGCTTCGTGTCAAATGTATGCAGGTGGTGACTAGCTGGTGACATATGAGCCATGGGTTATAGTTAAAACTTTAATTACACCGGTGCAATGCTGGAAAGGAAGTAAGCTTTCCATCAAAGTCGCAACATGGAGTAGTAAATGGTGGGCAACCACTGCCACTGTCACAGCCTCAGTAACAAACCACAATCGAATAAATACATCGCCTCCACCGTCTCCTTATTAACACCACCAACGTCACATCGCCGCTATTGCCGCTACCGTCCAACCACTACCATCACTGCCATCGTCGCCATAGCCGTCAGAGCATTCTGACGTCATGAAAATCGTCCCCGGAGCCGCGGAGATTAATCTGCTGCGGCCAATGGCGGACGCCTAACGAAGCTGCTCTGAAAGGTGGCTAGAGAACAAAACACCCCATTTAACACTGTCGGCGGTCGCTTTAGAAAGGAGCCCGCTCACTGACTGCAGAAGACATCTTTCAAAGGAGGCTAACTTCGGTGGTCAGGCGATATTATGAGGTTCATACGTTACCGAAATAAGCGGCGCGTGGCCGACTTTTCAAACATAAAAAGTGACTTGTTCGCCAAATGAAGCGTTTATCGCTATTATTTTTGTTATGTACATTCATTGCAACAAACAACGCTTTTCAGGAGCATACGTTAACATGAGCTGATGTATTTCCGATGCACCTGACGCTATGGCGAAAAACCCACCCCTGAACGGTGCCAGTGGCGGATCCGGGGGGGGGGGCAAAATGGGCATTTGCCCCTCCCAAACGGCATAATTTTAACATTACGCCTATGGACGAGGCATGGAAAGAATCGATAAACGGTTATGGTTTGCCCCCCCACCCCCCACCCCCCACCCCAAACTCTGAGCTGGATCCGCCCCTGAACGGTGCCGGTGTAAATGGTATAGCGAGCGGTGTTAGGCGGCACAGCATCCACTCAGGCGCATGTATGCTAGAGACATCTAACGGGATATACGACAAACCGGTGGTCTCGGGCGCGAGGGCGAACGGCTGGTGGTTAGCCGCAGACCACCCTCGTTACCACCTGGCATGCGGGTCTTCGTTGGTTGATTGTTGAGGTGGCAGTTGCGGTTACCTAGTTGAGTGATACACTGAGAGCACTGACGAAAACTAACTCGAGCTGGGAATAAGACATCTCCGCGCGCCCCAGACTGCGACGAAACATGCAAATAATCCTGATGGAAAGTCTACAACTGCTTGCTGTGTCATGCTGTGTCGTTAATGACACTGATTAATGAATGGGGACAATATTACAAGACGCGTCGTGACTGTGACTTGATTAAGACCCACTCTCCGAGTCACCTGATTATCTCTTGTTCTCACAGTTCTGAAGCACACAATGCATAAGGGATACCTACTTCAAGCTCAAACCATATCCTCTTGGTTTCTAAATATGAAAGCATTTTCTAACAAAGACGTCAAGTATGTAACATACGACCAGAAAGCACGGAATGCCATTGTACATCGTTGAATATTAGAAAATGAATATTTGCTTGGTAAAATTGCAACTTAAAGTACTGTTTGCATTCAATTAAACGTTCGCTTTGTACCAACAAAGTTGAAATGAAACTGCTCTAATCCTAGCATTTAGACTCTTTGCATGAGCTATTTACCTTGAGCTGCTGACCCTGAAAATAAAACGTTACCTACCTTCCTTGTAAAGCACTCAAGTAGCTGAGGACACCCTGCCAGGGAAGATTGTACGAGAGTGTTCTGCGCTCGTTTTTATCACCTTAGCTGGGTTATTGAGCTGAACCGAAGGCGGGATCCGGCACCGGGTCCCGGATCGTGCGCCATTAGAGACGTTCCACATCTATCCCGACACGCCCAATTGCGCTGCCGCTGATGGTCCAAAAATGGTGACGAGACAGAGAGTCATTAATTCCGACCGGGATCGGTGCGCCTCGAGACGCTGCAATATAGCGCGCAGAACCGTCTCTCGGCGGTGGAACGAATCTCTGTCATAATTAATGGCACGGCGCGACACTGGAGAAGCCAGAATGAGTTGACAAAATGACAACCAATTTTCCGGCCGCTTTAGAATCGAGAGCTCCAAATAAAAGCGTCAATGTCAAATAGAATCTCAAGTGCAGTTCCACTTCTGCGTTTTAGTCTGAGTATGCAAGGTGAATAAGGAATAAGGCGAATATTTACTCTTGGTATTCCATACGCCAACGACCTAAACCGACTTCCATGGCAATCATATCGCAAAAGCGACATGGTCTCGAAAGCAGAAAGCGCTGATAGCGGATGCTGTTCCAAACAAAACATGAGGGCACGGTAGCTGGGTGACATGATTGGGACAATCACTCCAGTTGAATGAATAACGCGAGGGAGGACTGCCGAAAGTGTGCTACTATTAGCCAGCACAGTGATGTACGGACAAGCTCAGTCCCACTTTCCATTATCCCGCGCCCTGGTGTGGGTCTGAGCCACCTTCGCCCTGGTGGGGGGGGGCCAAAATGACCCCCCCGTCTAACTCGAAAACGAAGAGGGCTAGGAAGACGCGGAAAAAAGCAAACGAAAGCCCATAACAAGTACGTTCGAAAGTATTTCGGTCATTTTTTCGCTAAGGTCAATATTGAGGTCGCTAGAGGTCATCATAGGTCAAATTTCAGTGTTTTCGGTGTTGCCGGACATATTCCGCTGTAGCTCGGAAACTAGAAGAGCTAGAGAGCCGCGGAAAAAAGCAATCGATAGCTCTTTTCAAGCTCTTTCGCCAAGGTTCGTCAGATTTGACCTCAGCTCAACGGTTTGGCCTACAGAGGTCATGCAAGGTCAACTTGGCAAATTTCGTTGAAAATGTTTTTAACTATAGCATGCATTCACGAGAAAATAGAGAAACGATTCATGCACCATCGTGCTTGGCTCGTCGAGACGCGTCGAATGATATATAGTTTGACCTCGAAAGGTCATTTTGAAAATTTGACCTCAGGTCAAGGTCATGACCTTACCGAAATAGGTCATGCTGCATATCATTCGATCCGCATTGACGAGACAAACACGATAAACGTCGAATGGAGTCTCTATCTCTATTCAATAACAAGTAAGTGCAGAAAAACCGCTGGTGACCTCTGGTGACCAGGGAGATGACCTAGCGTGACCTCAGCGAGGTCACAAGCAAATGGTTTCACATGGGCTGTGATTTGCTGACCCAAGACACTTCAATAACGAAATATAGGAACAATCACGCCCGATTTAGCTGAAAAACAACTACTTTTCGATTCTCCCATTGACTTATAATGGGGAGCAGCGATGACCTGACCTGACCTTAGGTCACATTTATAAAAAATCCGAGATAGCCATTTTGTAGAGCTGGGTGACATCTTCAAGTACTGTAAATTTTACATCGATCGGATAAAAGCTGTGCCTTTGAGAGAGCTTTGAACTTTTTTAGAGGTGGTGTCAGTTTTGGTGACCTTGTGACCTGACCTGACCTGACCCGAACCCCCCAAAAAAGGACATGATGTAAAAATGTTGAATAAACAGCTATACAAAGTTTCAGGGCGCTAACTCAAGTGGTTTCTGAGTTATCGCTGAAAAACCACAGGGGGGGGGGCCAAAATGGCCCCCCCCCCACCAGGGCGAAGGTTATTATACGAATGTATAAGAAAACGCAGCACAACGAGCAACGTTGTTGAACAAATTGAGCTGCAGAAAAGAACGCACTTTGCCTGGCAAACCACGGCAGATAGAATGCTTTGAAATTTCAGCCAGCGGCTAATAAAGATATTGCATGAAAAGCACAAGGCCTACAATAGCATCTCAGGTATATCATACCTGGCCTAAGGCGGTCTAAGCTTGTGTGAACAGAGGCCTCTTGCACCAAAATCCTCTTGCACCAATGCTTGGATTATTTTGCATCGTATACCCAGTCCAAGTCTCAAATGTAACAATTTGTGTGCAAAATTTAGCAAGCACATGTAGGATTATGTATTGGGCTATTGCAAACCAATTTACCACCCTTAGATTAGCTTATTCTGAAACCGGTTTTTCGATTTTACCTAGCTAGGTAGTTTGGTGCAAGAGGCCACCGATTACCATAAGTGAAAATATTTACTGAATATTTCGGATCAATTAGCCCAAGTTGCCAGACGTGTGCACTGCTCATGTGACTTGCATTGTGGCCTCTGCCGTGACTCCCTCAGCTGCCAGTCATTTCGTCAGAATGGTGACGAGCCCGCAGTAATCACGGTACGCTGCATGCTTCTGAATAATTCACGCTAAATCGGTGCTCAGAGGCCGGATAGACCTGCAACCGTTCGTCGTTTTCAGTCTTTGCACCTTAGGTAGCCCTACGCTCGAGTCCGTAAGCCGATTTGACTGCATTAATCCCCGACCATGGGCTTCAGTTGGGAGAGTATGTATGATTTGAGTGCCAATGGAGACCAGAACAGTGGCAGCTAAGCCCGTGCGCCAGCGGCTTTCGGCTGAACTGGATAGCATCGACTGACCTTTGCATACTATTTGCAATTCAGTCTGACCACCCCAGGAAGTTCGCAGGAATCAATAGTCCAAAGTAGAACATAACTAGACAGAATACAAAAACGCGCAGTGACTTCTCTTCAATTCTCCTGAAATAGCAGGAGCGTAACTACCCACTGTTTTCATATTATGGTGGATAAATATAAAGTTTAAACAGACACAGCATATTCCGTGACAAGTGATGATAAAGGTAGTTGAGTAGAGCCATCATTTTGATGAACTCATCAACCCAGCCCCGAGCCGGGTCGTCCTACTGATGAGTCTGGACAAGCTTGGTGTGGGACTGGGACGAACTGTCCTACTGAGGAGCCTGAGGAGTCTGGACTGACCTGGTCTGAGCCGGACCGTCGTGGTGAGGAATTTGAATGACTGTCCTGATGGGTCTGGACTGACCTAGTCTCAGTCAGACCGTCCTGCTGATGAGTCTGATGTGAGTCTGGACCGACTGAGTCTGAACTGACCTGGTCTGAGTCGGACCGTCCTGCTGAGGAGCCGCCCGGCCGGGCCGGTCACCACGCAGCGGTACCGACCTCCGTGCACGTCCAGCCGGAACAGACGCGCCGGAAACGGGTGGAAGTAGAGACTTCCGTTGGCCAGTGACTCCCTGGAACGGAGGCCAGGCACCCATCAGCGCTGCCGGCTGGGAGGGTTAGGGTCGTCGACCAGCCGAGCAAACCACAGAGAGACGGAGGACGCTGTACAGTCTGTCTTAAAGTACCGCGCAAAGTGACGGTGGATCCATCAAGCCTGACCGAGGAAGGGCCTGCTATAATTTGAAAGTCACCGAACTAATTGACCTGGGGGAAGGGACGAGGATGTCCATTGCTTCGGTGACTCAAATTTAGCAGTCCTTCATCAGTCAGGCTTGATGGATCCACCGTCACTTTGCGCGGTACTTTTAAGACAGACTGTACAGTGTACAGCCACAGTAAGTCGTCAATAATATATTGATATATCAGCGTGACAACAGTACTCGCGACATTCTTTGATTTCCGAATAAAGATGATGGCGGGAAATGCAGCCCAAGTTATAATAGTGCTGCCAGTGTATAACTCGGCGGAATCTCATAAGCATCAGTTATAATGCACACTGCACATAACTACAATCGTTAGCTAAATGGAGGTATTGGGTGATATTCTGAAGATAAAACTAAAGTAATACTAGATGGCATGTTTTGCGCTATAACTGTGCGTTTTGATAGATGCGTTTGAGGGGGCATTGGTTTGGGTGTGGGAACTTTTGATTTTTATTTGTCTTATTTTGTCGGAGTTGGATATTTGTTTGAACGGCATGGTATGCTGGTGCTGGTTGCGGGTTGTTAGAGCCTTTCTCATGGTTTGCCTTTATCGAACTCAAACCCACCCTACCCTACCCTAACATACACATAACCTACCTTACTGATAACCTACACATAGTTATCCTTCTCATACTCGATTAAAGTAACGTACCAAATTTGAGCGCAATCGGCCCAGCCGTTCTTTAGTTATAAAACTGGCCCACTGCACGTGCGCACGCGCTAGCTGAGACTCCAGATGACTTTTGCCAGCAACCTTTCTAAATTGTCCCCAACAGTGAAAAAAAAATTGAGCGAAATCGGCCCAGCCGTTCTTGAGATGTAGAAGCGGACCCCTCACGTGCGCACGTGCAATCGATCCACCCTACCTGTCACAAATGACCATACATCGCCAGGTGAGTGCCCCCTCCACCCACAGTCCAAGTTTCAGCGCAATCGGCCCAGTAGTAGCTGAGTTATTCCTAGTACAACAATATGCTGTTTACTGGTAGGCGCTTATTTGCAGTGTTTGGAATTCCCCTTTGCGGGCGGTGCATTGCAGCCCATGCTTTGATAGCTATTGTGAAAAGTGGAATGACCTGACGGCCATAAGCCATCGATCGGATTTTGTCGAAAAATACCTGTAACGTTAACAAAACACGGTGGTATGTTTGAGTCATTTTCACAAAAGTTTATTGACTTTTCGATAATATTTTGGGTGGATATTGGTCAGAAAAGAATGCTCTTTCCGAATATGTATGTTTCATGGCCATTGATCAGCGTTTTCAATACGTTTTGATGTTGTAAAGGACACCGCGCTCCGCTCGAATCAAATTTTCCAATTAATTTTTCATTATTAAGGAAATGGTACGGATCATCACTTTTTGTTTGCTATTCTCTGATTACACATACATTTGTCTGCAAAATGGCACCACACCGATTTCATTCCGTCAAGCCGTTTTCCAGCGGCATCGGTTTTCTTCCCACAATGCACGAAATCGGTCATTTTTTCACAACCGGAGGTATTGCCTTGCACGTGACGCGTGCTATACTATGAAACCATATCAATACGCTAGGCCCATCTCTCCTCTATCGAGTGGTGTAAACCGCTTCTCGCTGCGACCCTCCGTTGCCGATTTATACAGTCGGGAAGCGGGCGCCGCAGGCCGGTTTTCGCCCGATCGTCGATTTGACCGTTTCCTGTGTTAACCCTATGGCGCACCCTTTTGCACGTGCTGACGGCGCACCCCTGGTCCGATAACGCCCAAATTTTAATACCAAAGCCGCCCACGCCCACAGATTCGACATGCCAAATTTCACGCCGATACGCGGCGCCTTTCAGGCGCAATAAGACACATAAGGTCTGACACACGGATGGATGGATGGAGATTGGACGGACGACTTATAATTCATAATATAAGTCGAAGTATAAGCCTTCGAAGTATAGTCGCCTTGCAACAAGGAGAGTGCAACAAAGGATGCACGGATTGCCCAATTGGAGATATATGTAGAAGAAGCTGTATCTCGTTCCGTAGCACTGGCGACAGCTGAAGGCACATCGAACCGGGAGGCTCATAACTCAGAAAAAAATAGTGGAGCTAATAGGACAGCGGATATCGCCGCCGCGATTGACATCCGCGCCCTAGGTGCGGCAATCGCCAGCTCACTGCAGTGGAACGCGGGTGACTCCGAGTCTGAAGCTGAGAATGACGCATGCTGCGGCGGTTCACGGCCACCAGTTCAACAACTGCAACGCGAAACGCGACCGCTGGCTCCAGTTCGAGACACTCTCACCGGCAATAGGGAACGGTCATTTGCTGAAGCGGCTCGTACCGGCGGGGCACAAGCACAAACTCAGAGCACGAGATCTGATGACTCCCAACGAAGCCCCCCTGGTGTTGTAACAGGCACGGGTGTGCAATCATCGCTGATCATGCCGAGGACTGAACAGTATGGCCCACACAAGAAGTTCTTCATCTCAGGATTTCGACAGGAAGTCTCTGACAGCGATGTCCGTTCGCTCGTGTTCGGTGTCGTAAGGAACCTGCATGACTTTCACAGGGTCAAGTACGGTGGAAGTGCACATCAGGCGCGATCGAAGTCGTACATGATTGAAGTTGACGGCCAAGACGCTGACCTAGTTATGGACCCTATGAGATGGCCAGCTGGACTCACGGTAGCTATGAAGTTGGATGAAGGCGGACCCCGCCGACCAACGTTTCAGACCCAAGGAAGTGGACCGAGGACAGCCGAAGCACGATGGTCAGGCGGACGCCCTCCGTACACATCGTCTGAAACTGAACAGACCCATGGAATGTCAGCCGAATTCAACCGCACCAGAGTACCCGGTAACAGTAGCTTCGGCCATCCTGAAGGATGGGCCGGTGCTCAACCTCAGCGCGCAACCACCGGCTATACTTCACAGTAGGGGAGAGTGGGGTGGGTTGTATCAGTTTTTACTCCGAGACCCATAACCTCGTAACTATCCGCGATAAACTCATTATCCCCATACTATCCCCTTCCTTGATTCTTCTGCTTTTTTGTGCAAAGTAACTTTTCCGCTACCTCTACCAGTTTTTCTTCTACGGTCTGCCGAATAGAACAATGTTTTTGATACAACTTGCCCCATGGCTTGGGTGAGTTGTATCACATGGTGGGGTAATTTGTATCACTATTTCACGTTTCAGGGAGTGTGCTTGCTACTTGTTTTGAACATAACAACAACATTAAATGAGGTTATTACAATGTATAGGTATGCTCAAAGGCTTCACTTTATTAGATCAAACTTTGGTCAATGCAATCCGAACGAAACATCAACAGACTAGACGCAAAAGTGGCCCGTTAAGAGCAAAGAGGCCAACACATTGTGCCGAAATGGAACGAGCATTGACTAGCTACCTACAAACGCAAGCCAGGGCTTAGCTTTTGCGATAAAAAGCAACATACCCATACATACATACATACATACATACATGTTACAACATACCCCACCCGGCTCTGATACAACATGTACCTAGCCGCCATCTTGTAAAAAAACATCCTCGTGCTAAAAAATACAGCGGACAGCTGGAGAAATCCGTTTTCACTCACGCAGCCCTAGAACCTACCCTCACCACCGCTACGGAGATCTTTCAAATTCGTGCACATCTAAATGCCCAAAACACACATTTTCTTTCAACTTATTTTTTTAGAATGACATTAAAAAAACATAAAATCGGCTCTCACCTCGAGACGCGTCCACTCAGCCACAAGACAGAACAGGGAAAGATGGCGCCCGGAAAACCTCGTCGGCTGGTCGTGTCGCGAGCGCCATCCATTGTATAAGTTTGGCACAATTCGCCCTGATACAACTTGGACATGATACAACTCTCCCCGCTCTCCCCTACGGTGACTGGCAAACGGTCAACTATGGACGCAAACGAGGCAGGCGAGTCGACCAACAGCAACAGTACAGTAACAGACGCGCTCACCATTGGTAGTTACAACTGTGAGGGCTTCCTTAGTGCAGCGCATTACATAGTGGAACAGCTTTTGCCTAACAGTGATCTGCTGTTCCTGTCAGAGACATGGCTCTCACGAGCTGAGGAACCCTACCTTTCAAATGTAATTGATTCGCTAGATGATGGCGATTATTATTATGCGCAAGATTTTGCTGCAGAGCTACCACCTCGGGTGGGTGAAGGCAGACCTCATGGAGGGGTAGCCTGGATTTGCCGGAGGCGCATGAACCGCAGCTTTGAAGCTATATGCTGTAATGACCACAGACTGTGTGGTGTCACCCTTCTTGAGAGCAACACTCCCGTTCTAAATCTTATAGGATGTTATATGCCCTTCTGGGACTCGTACGGACCGAATGGCGAAGAGTACCTTACAGTTATTGCAAAACTTGATGCAATATTAGAGTCTGTCCGAGCCGACGCTCCAATTCTACTTGTCGGGGATTTCAACTGTGCACTTCTCCCTCTGGCAGACACAGCTCGCACAGTCGGATGGCAGCATCTCCGAGGTCTTACACCCAACAGTTTGGCTATGCAGTCTCTCCTCGACGACTATGACCTGACAGTTGCAGAGTTTCGGTTTCCGCAAAAAGTTGGTTACACATATTCTCGTGGTAACAGCCGCTCCCACATAGATCATATCGCGGTGCCCAATAGCCGTGTTCAAGACGTACGCAGCTGCACAATATTGCCTCCTTGCAAGGACAACCTCAGCCCGCACCTGCCAATAATCTGTGAACTTTTGATAAAAGTTCCAATGGCTATGCGTTGGAGTAGCCCAAATGATAAATCCTATTGGAATTCCACAGAGCAAGTAGATTGGAGCTGCCCCGC